GCGACAGGACCTCTTAATCAGACATTAAGGTGCCAGATAATAAGCATCAGGGTTCAAAACACCAGGTGCAGCCCAGATGGAGAAAGGGGAAGAAAGAGTAACAAGCAGGTATTTTGCTGTACAAATCCCCAGTGGGGAAAAAAAGTCTTGGGAAATGCAGCAGGAAAATGTTGACTGTAGCACAGGATAGCTGGGTTTGGGGATATGGATTATAGCCCCATAAAAGATCTCCAGGCTGAAGTAGCTACTGTAGGAGTTCAACCCCCCCCCCCCAACCCCATATTCAGGGATGGGGTACAGGGGAAAGCTACAGCTCCAACTGAGCAGCCCGCCCTTTGACCTTCTCCGGAGACCATTAGTACCAACTGGAAACCGGAATGTTCAAACCGTGTTCCACTGTCAGCATCAAGACCCTCAACTCTCTTCGTTGCCTCTTAAATTAACTTTAGGACCTGCTGCCAGAAGGATGTTTTTAATCAAGTCAGAGGGTGAGAAAATGCTTCCTCAAAGGCCATATTGGATCAACCACCATGTTCCCACCTTCCCACCTTCCATCTCCCCTTCCTCGTGGCTGAGAGTGAGGTACAGTGCGACTCGGAATTGGATCTAATTCAGTCTTGGGTGTCTCCAGCCCCGAGTCATCAGGGTGAAAAAGCCAACAGCGCTTCTCTTCCTACACTTGTTCTCTCCTGACTGGAGCCAGCACCACCGAGCTGCCCTCTTCCCTTCCTTTCCACATGGCTCCACTTGGGAAGTCCTACACCCCATCCCAGAAAACATTTCAAGTGTGACTCAGGAATGTGTCCTGTCTGGAGGGCTCAAGCACCTCCTGAGACACACGGAAGCCCCCCCCCCTCCCCCTCAGGTGCACACCCTACCAGCAGCAGCAGCAGCAGCAGCAATACCCATTAGTCATGCCCAGAGGAAGGGGCGAGCGCGCCCCGCAGCCCCGGGAACATTGCCCAGCCACCCTCAGAGCCTCCCATCCAGGCTGGGATGACTTTGGATTCTTGAGTTGGTTTCTGCAGAACTGGGACGAACCAGGGCTCCCAACCACTGTCCTGTGGAGAAGTGCGCTGCATTGCTGGGCATGCCCCCAAGCCTGGCCTGCTTACCCCTCAAAGCCTCCATGTGTCCCCGCGGGGCTAAAGGAGGACCTCCGGCTCCAGGGCAATGCCTGGACCTGGCTTGCCTGAGACAGCCTGAACGCCAGGAGACCACACCTCTGTCCAGCAAAGGCAGCTCCCGGCGAGGCGAGCAGGGCTGGCTCCGGGAGCTCTCTGCCAGCCAGCGCCGTGCCGGGGAGAGGGGCTTCCCCGGGGAAGAAGCGCCCGCCCCCCGGTTCTTTCCCACGCTGGAAGCTCGGGCACAGGAGCTCCCCCGGCCCAGAGCGGAGCCTGCCTGGCTGGGTGATTCCCAGCACCCCCAGCACATCCCTCCTCACCTGCTCCGCCCCCTCCTGGCCCCAACGCCCCCTCCCCGGACCGCTGACCTCCAGTGTGCCCCCAGTTGGGAGCGCTGTAGCCCCACACCTTCGCTCCCACCTCTCCACCACCTCCGGCCCAGTTCCCGCCTCGCCCCCGGCCCGCGGGGGAGGCTCTGCGCGCCAGTCGAGTCCGGAGCCTCTCGGCAAGTTGGCAGCAAAGCCGTTGCCACCTTGGCGGTCTCTCTCTTCCCGGTTCCGGGCGGCATCCCCGCCACCGCCGCGGGCAGATCGGGAGGGGAGCCTCGGGCGGGAGAAACTTTCTCCGCCTGAGGGGCCTGACGGGGTGGGGGCCCGGAGCGGGTACTCACGCGGCGGCCAGCGCTGCGAGTCCTCCTCCGGCTCTCTCACCCCCACCGCCTCGGGGCGTCGGAGCGCGGGCGTCCGCTGCCGCCTCTGCCGCCGCCGCCTGCCTGCGCCCAGCGGGTCCCGGGCTGGCCTCGAGCCTCCCGCCCCGACGTCGCCCGCCCGCTTTATACAACTCCACTCGAGCGCGCCGGGCTTATGTAAAGCCTGGCGGAGCCCCGCAGCCAATGGCGCTGCGGCTGGGGCTCGCGGCCCGCGGGTGGGGGGCGCCCGCGCGGCCAATCGGAGCCGGGGAGCCGGGGAGCCGGGTGGGGGAGGGCGCGCCGCCCCGCGCTGATTTAGGAGTCGGGATTGCGGTGGCAGCAGCCGGCAGCACGGCCGGCCCGGCCGGGCCCCACGGCCGGCGCTGGGGTGGGCGGCGGCGCAGGCGGCGGCGAGGGCGGGGGTCCCCTGCTCCCCGCTGCTGCGGCGCGTAACCTTCAGGAGGCAGCGGGGCCGGGCAAGGGGAGCGAGGGCGCCCCGCAGGACGCTGGGGACCCCGGGCCCGCGGGAAGCTGGGGTCCCTCGGGAGGAAGCGCTGGGAAGGAAGGCGAGGGGGAGGGGAAGGAAGGGCGGCGACCCCTCCCCGGGCCCCGCGGCCACCCCCGCGCGCAGGGCCGAGGGTGGCGGCGGGAGCGGCGGCGCTGTCGCGTTTCCCCCCCCAGGGAGCGACCTGGCGTCTCCGGGCCGGGCCGGAGCGGCCGCTCGAGCCACGCAGATGGCGAGATTTCGCGCTGCGGAGAGAGCGAGCGCCGAGCCGATCTTTATCGGCGGGGAACGTGTCCGAGCGCCTCCCGGGGACTGCTCAGTATGGAGCGCGGAGCTTCGCGACGGCCCCGGAGGGCGGGGAGCCGGCGAGCACGGCTCGGAGATCTGGCGCGGCAGCGGCGGCGTCCGCGGCAGCGTCTCCTCCCCTAGTCCCCCGCCCGCCCGCTGCGCCCCCACCCCACCCCGCCAGCCCCCGGCCCACCCGCTCGGGTCCCTCGCCGCTTTGCGCACAGGTACTGCTGCCCCCTCCTCACCCCCAGCCGCTGCAACGGGCAGGATGGTCTCTGCTTCTCGGGCCCGGGTCCTGGGGACGAAGCTTGGGAAGAGCGCTCTTGGTCAGCAGTGCCCAAAATGCCCGGGTGCCCGCAGGAAAGGAGCCTAGGTCGATAACACTTCATTCCTTTACTTCGCGCCTAGAATAGGGCCTGGCACTTAATAGGCGCCCAGGAAGCGTTTACTGAATGAATGTTGAGCTTCTGTAAGCAAGGTCTTTGGGTCTCTGTAAGTTGGGGCAAGGACAGGGCTTTGGAAGAGAAAGACCTGGTAGTAAGTCATTAGAGGAGGGAGGGAGTGAGGACTGTTTCCCATCTATTGACGGCTTTGTCGTCATCACCCTGGCATCAGGACACGTCGCTATTAAAATGACTCCAATGTATTTTTATGGAGGGCCTGCCAGCCCCTGACCGCAGAGCCTCCAGGGCCTACTTTGGCCCTGTTTTGAGGTCTCTGTGATTGTCCTCTGGAAAGAAGTAAGCACAGGCAATCCTAGTTTTGGGGGGGCCTTGGATCTAGCTCAGGTTCTTAACCCTTTGAAGGTTATGGGCCCTTTTGAGAATCTGGCAAAAACTATTGAATCCTTTCTTTAGAAAAATACACACACATTTACACACACACACACACACACACCCCTGGAGTATAATTTCAGGATCATTAGGGACCCCAAGTCTGTCTTAGAACTCTCTCTGCCTGATGTAAACCTGTTTCTCTAGGGGTTGAAGGCAGTAGTTTATAATTGCCCTTCTTTGGGGGATCCTAGAACCCTTTTGAGCCATTCAAGAATCTGATTAATGTTATGAGTCTGCTTCTCAGGGGGAAAAAAAAATGCTCAATCATACATGTTGACATATAATTCTCAGGGGTTTATGGATCCTTTAAAGCTTAACCCAGGGTCCCCAGATTAAACCTCGCAGCAGACAGACTCGGCACTAAGGGCTCCCTCCATAAAGAGTTCGGCAGCCCTGCACCTGCTGCGTCATGTCCCACCCTGCCTGAGGGCACCTGAGTCCTGTGGTGATGGCCCTGGCACCTGAGAGACCATCTCCACACTTGCCTCTGCATCTTGGTCCCCACCACCCTCTTTGTGTGAAAATAAGTTGCAGGTTGTCATGTTCTGTCTGATCTGTGAGTGTTCCGTACCCAGAAACTCCAACTCAGGGTGACAGCAAGTGATTGGTAATTAACCAGCTTCACTCAGTCCCAAGCATCTGAGCACACCTTTCCTGGTTTTTGTTCTCACCTCTCTTTCTGAGGGCGAAGCTGTGAGCAGCAGCCCCAGCTGTGGAGCCTCGCCTCACCTAAACCTGATGGATTTCATAACGAGCACGGTAATGGTCAGTATTAGCCATCCAGATGTGAATAGGCCCTCTGCACAAAACAGCTTTGTAATGATCTCACGCTTGCCTGCAGCTAGCCAAGGAAGGGTGCAACAGGCCAGAGGTGCGGGGGAAGGACAGAGAAGTGCTGGGAATGACGGAGACATTCTCTCCTCGAAGTTCTCCAGGAAATGGAATCTGGTTTTTGCACTTGAAATTGTGAGGGTTAAGCCAGGCTATCCTGGTCCTATAATTTCTAATTTCTCTAATGTCCTCCACGCCCACGTGTTCAGCTCATGTCTGTCCACTTGAAGCTCCAGCCCTGCCCTGCCCATCTCATGGAAGAGGTCTTACCCTCACAACTGCACAGACACGCCCTGCTTGCTCAGGGCACATGAACACTCTATAAACTGAATTGTGTCTCCCTCCTCCAGACTTATATGTTGAAGCCTTAACTCCAATGTGACTGTATGTATGTATTTATTTATTTTTGCTGCCAAAAGCTTTATTGTTTCGTTTGGTCCAATGCATGGGAGAGGGTGGTTAAAAGAATGGCTAGCAGTTTTGGGGAGAGGCTCAAGTAAAAGCCAGACACCAAGGGATGTAGAGGGGCCTCTCAAAGGCCTCTGGGCTCCAGGCTCCTAGCTGGAGGGTGAGCCTTTCCAAGGATATTCGCCCAGCCCAGCCTGGGGGCCGGGCAGCCTGCAGAGGTGAATCAGGTGTCGCCCATCTTCTTGATGCGTTTCACCTCCTCACCTGGAAGTGCTTCTCCAGGAAGTCACAGAGCTGAGGGTCTGTGGGAAGAACCCAGGGCCTGCAGCTCCCACAGGGGCCTGGTCAGGTTCCTCTCCAAGGACCTGGCGGCTTCCATGACGTCCTGAGTTTTGCCCCCTCATCTTGGGGAGGCTTCAGCACGTCCTGGAGAGAATGTGGCCACCGCGCTGGTTTTGCAACTTTAAGAGCTGCTTAGCGCCCAAGCGTTTCTTCTCCACCAACTCAGGCAAGAAGTGGCCCGCGCCCTGGAGAGCTACATCGTCGTGGTCGAAATAGAAGCCGAGAGAGAGGTAGGTGTATGGGGCCCGCAGCCTCGACCTCGGTGGAATAATTCTGGTGGATTTGGGAGCTCATGGTTGTTCGCAATAAGGAGTTATGGTAGAAAACACAACAATAGTTTGTTGGCTGGTCCGGAGGTGGTTCTGAAGTTGGTGGCTGGAGAAGATGCAGGGGAGTGTGTCTGTTCTGTCCAAACACGGTTGAAGCAAGAGGCAGACCGGGACTGCGGAGGGCACTGTCCCCATGTGACCGTACTTAGAGAGAGAGCCTTTACGGAGTCAATGAAGTTTAAATGAGGTCAAGAGGGTAGGACCCTAATCCTCAGGATTAGTAGCCTCATAAGAAAAGAAAGACTAGGAATCTCCCTCTGTCTGTGCGCACAAGAAGAAAAGGCATGTGAGGACATGGAGAGGTGGTGTTTTGTTATGGCAGCCCCAGCGGGAAGATATGCATTTCCAGCACACTCCTTACCCAGCCAGCGTGTTCAGTCTCCTCCCGATACTTTGACTCCAGCCTTTTTCACGCCTGTGAAGTCAGACCTTATTGATTCTGGCACACTCTCCTAAAATGTGTTTTTCATCTTTTGATACCCAAACTAAGTCTCACCTCTCACGCCACTTTCCAAAACTGCTCTAGCCAGAGAGCTTCGCCACCTCAGATCTCCGGCAGGTGTGCCACATGCCAGCATATTATGGATATTATTCTGTTTTCTCCCTAATTGTGTCTTACACATAAAACTTGGCCTTCCTGTCAGAATGAAAGCCCCTTTAAGTCCAGAGTTTGTAGCTTATACAGTGGCAACCTTACAGAACCCAGCATGAAACAGGGGGAACACACAGTTAAACAAATGTACTCCTCAAAAAAAAAAAAATTCTAAAAAGGTTACGTAGCCACTTCATGTTCTAAAAGCTCAAGTCATTCTGTGTGTGCCATTCCAGGCATCCCGAAAGCCTGTTGGAGAGGGGCCCTCAGGAACTAGTTCTCCTATAACCCAGGCCAGAGGGGCGTCACAAATTGCTGAGTCACACAAAGTCTCCAAATCAGAAGCCACGCTACCCTTGGTTCCCGCTTGGCTATCTTCTCTCTCCAGATGGAGAGGGAAGGGTGGGGAAGCTCGGATCTTTGAGATACTTCTGTTCCAACAGATCAGTTGCAAAAGAAAAGTTGGTACAGTCCCTCCAGGCTTGAAGCCAGAGGTGTTTTAGAATTTGGAAGGTGCCATATATTCTGAAACATCCCCTGCAAGGTTTTGGGCAGTATCTCGTAATCAGCCACGTTAATATTTCTGCAGTAAAATATATGAATGTTCACACTACGCGGCTCAAGTACCTTCACATCAGTTTAGGTCTGGCATTTGTCGCCAGGTGAGTTTGGGCACTACGCTTGCAAAAAAAACCAAAAACGAACCAACAAAAAAGCCTCACAATCCACCTTCTGGTTTTCAGAGATTTGGGAATTTGAGAATTACGGAGAAGGGACTGGGGAATGGCATTTTAGGCTTGGTTGTCCCTAAAGAAATGGCTGTTTTGTGAGGGTGTGGAAAAGCAGCAGTAGTAACAAATGAGAAGTCATAAACTGTGAACGAAGTAGGGAGTTTAAGGGGGTACGAGCAAATCACTGTTCTCTAGCCAAGTTGCATTGGGTTGTAGTTGTGTTTTGTTTTTTTTTCCTAAGGAGCACATGTGTGTCACATGGCTGTGAGTTTCAGGTGCCCTTGTGTTAACAGTGGCTTAGAAGTGGCAGACATAAGGAGCGGACTTCTGAGGGAGCAGGTGGGGGTGAAGACGACAGAAGCTCCTGCAGGGAAGCCACAAGCCATGGTGGACTTCCCTGTGGTGAGAAGGAGTTCAGAAAAGCTTGAATGCGGAGCGCTTGCTACAGGCGAACTTCTCCGGGCAGAGGGAGGGCCGGCCTGGAAAAGGAGGCTAAGCAAAGGAGGACGTGATGGAATCCCAGAAAAGTCTGGTTGGAAAAGTCGGCACTTCTTGGGGCTGGGAGTCTGGGGCGGCCTTGCAAGTGGATGTCTTCTCATTGTGTTCATCTGTGTCTAGAGGGCTTGGGTGCTTTGAGGTTCTCCCACACTGGATGGGGTGGCTTTGATAGGAAGGAGGAGGACAGTGAAAGGAAAGCCACAGTGAACCCCTAACTACTTGGCTCTCTCTGCCTGCTTACGGTGCTCGGTCAGCAAGACTCTCCACGGTCAGGGGGCTCCCTGGGGTCCAAGGTCAACAGCAGGGAAGCTTCACTTGAATCTGAAGGCTCTCCCTGTTGCTGGTTTCGGACCTGCTTTGCTTTGTTCCAAAGTCCTAGTGCATGCTCTTACCTTCCTCTTCTGACAGAATGCTCTGTCTGGTACCCCCAGTTCCAATGACTGGGTGTCTGTATCATTTTCCTATCCTGCTACCCTCTAGGATCCAGGCGCTTGGGGACTAAGAGTCTGGGGTCCAGATATTCTACTTTCCTCCCCGTGGCTGAGTCTTCTACCACCTGCTGCCTCACATTCCTGATATCAACTGTCTTCTTGAGCCTCTGCCAGCTGCCTCATGCCAGCTTCCTTTGACATGCCCCCAGCCTGGCCTCCCTTCCTACCACTTGCAGCTGCCAGGACCTCCCCAGATCTTGGCCCTGCTTGGTGGATAGGTCTTGATCCAGGTTCCAGCCCCTCGTGGTCTGGCATATCCAGCTACCAGCCCAGCCAGGTTTCTGACAGCCATGGGCTCACAGTCGTGGCTTAAAGAAGACGAAGGGAAAAACCCTGTAGCGGGGGGGGGGGGGGGGGGGGGGGGTGAGTGGTAGCTGGCATGAGGCAGAAGCTGGCATAAGGCAGTTGCAGCAAATGCCAGGGAGCTCCTGGTCTAGGGGTGCCTTGGCCAGTTTCAACCTAAGGGGAGAGGGGAAAGGGTGAAAAGTGAACAGGAGAGGAAGTGAACAGGAAGAAGTAAATAAAGAGAGGGAAAGAATCAGTAGAGAAAGGGAAGGGAGGATGTTAGGGAAAGAAGCAAAGGGGGTGGAGAGAATGTTTCTAGTCTGAATTGAATATCTGAGCTGAGCATGAAGATTCTTCTCATCAACAAAGAGTCAAGCATTGACATAAAAGAAGATGGAAAGGATAATTGAGCCAGGGCGTATGTGTGTTTGGGGGGTGGGGGCGGGCAGACAGATAAACAGGTAGGCAGACAGACATAGGGAAAAGAGAGAAGGAGGAATGAGAAGATAGACTATCCAGAGAGTAAGTAGGGTAGAAGTGGAGGGCTAATGAGAACAGATGGGCAAGAATTGATGGCCTCTGGGAAAAGGGACCCATGTTTGAAAATGGCCAGGGATTTTGTCAATCAGGGATTGTTGAGCACTCCCTTTCCCCACCACCTAACTCTGAACCTCTTGGTTCTTCCCTGATTTGTCCTAAACTCCACCCTCATCTTGACACCAAATTCCATTAAAGATAGAAGGGATTTCTCACAGGTTCAGCTTCAGGGTCTGGAGGTATTGTTATAACCTGCCAGATGCAAGGGTAAAATGAGGATGATAGAACTAATTTCGGGGCTTTTCTAAGAAGCACGTGAGATGATATATGCAAAGCACTCAGCAGAGCGCCCGGTGCGTAGTGAGCGCTCCGCACACGATAACCATTGCCATTCTTCTCTGTCTTCCAATCTCGGTTTCCAGCCTGTCACCTCCGCCTGCCTGTCCTTCCTTTGAAATGTCGCTCACTTTCATCGCTTTCTCTTTACTCCCAGACCTCTAGCCCCTGGAAGTTGTATTCCTACGATGGCAGATCTGTAGGTGCCTCTGCCTTCATCTTCTCCTCACCCAGCTCTATGGTATTCCTTTCATTTGTGTAGCATTCAACAGAACAAAAAAGATCCTAAGTGCAGGCTCAGGAAGGTGAAGTGGCTTGTCTAACGAGGCACAGCTAATAAAAGGCAGAGCTGGGACATAAATTCAAGTGTCTTGGGCATTGCCCACTGCCCACAGAGTCGAATAATTGCTTCTTTCATAGTGATATTCTTGAGGATAAAGGCCTGGCCTTATATTTCCCATAAACACCGTTAGGGTCTGGCTCACAGGAGGCCCTCAGCCACTGTCAATTGATTCATTTCTTCCAGGCACCCAAAGAACTGCGGGGTCACCCTTGGCTCAGCCCCACCTCTGCTGGAAGGGTCCACCGGCTTCAGCATCTCTCTGCTCGGGCGTCTGAGGCAGGACCCAGCCCTGCCCCACGGCTGTGCACGCAGTAAATGAGGGCTGACCAGCGCAGAGCCAACATTCCACCCTCGGGTAAGCAGGGAGAAAATCACGAGGAATTATGGTTGTTTAAGTGTAGCTCAAACTAGTTGAGGATAAAAGCAGCTCCATGCTCATAGCAACAGAAAGGAATTGAGATTTCATGAAAAGAAGGCTTTCTTCTCTGTGCGAGTTGTGAGATGTTAGAACGAGATTCCTGCAGAGGTTGTAGAAACTGCTCCCCTGGAGGTCTTTAAGAGCTGGAGCACAATTCGCTTTTCAGCGAGAGGTGGATGTGATGGCTGTGAGTGTGGAGCTGGGGCACAGGCAGCAGGGAGGAGGGGTTAGATGCCTTGGGAGGCAGGCAAGGGCTCCAAGGCAGGGCCAGGGCGTGGGGCAGGGAGGGGAGGGCAGGCCCCAGGGATGGGGGGGGGGGGACGGGGATGGGGTGCGTGTCAGGTCAGGAAGCAAGAACAGAGTTCTGAGTGGAGAGCCCCGCAGGCTGTTGCCTGATCTGTTCCATTGCTGCCTGCCGGCTGGGGCTGCTAAGCCTGCAGCGTGGAGGCAAGGAGCTCATTCTGGACCCTCAGGGGTCGGTGGGACCTAAAGGCAAAAGAGCTGGCCCACCCAAATATTAAATACAAATAACTGAACCTGAAGAACTCTCTTTCACCATGTTCCTTAAACAGGGTGTTAGGGGAGGACTCCAGGTCCATGAATTACCCCAGATAAAAGTGCCACATCTTCCTGGAGTATCCATTTTTACTAGATGTGCTAGGAATGGGGGCAAGAGGAGGAGTGGCAGGTAATTTCACAGATAAGAAATGGAAAATGCACGTTTCATTTCAATAATTCTGGATATTTCATGGAGTCGAATGCAAAATCGTGCATGCGTGTTTTAGACAAAGCGTGAGCTTTGAAAAGATGGGCGTGTGTGATGGCCCTTTCTGTGGCTTTTAGAGTATCTGAGTAGAAAAAGTTTCACCAGGAGTGCTTTCGAATTTACAAAGCATTGTCTCATGCACTGTCTCGTCCGGTCATTCAACAGCAGGTAAGCGCTTTTTGTGGGTCAGGCGCGATGTCCTTGGTAACACAGAAGTGGGTGTTTACATTTTCCCTCTAGTGGAGTTGAGGAAACAGGCCCAAGATGGCGTGCTCCCTCCCTGGCAACAAGACTCACAGGTGGCAAAACAGGATTAGGGACGCGGGTGCCCTTTTTCCCACGCTGGGCCAATTCCATTGTGCCTGCCGCCCTTCCCCGTGACTGCAGTTCTTCCCCACACGTGTTCCCTTCCCTTGCACGGCACTCATTGTCATGTGCTCCCTCCTAAGAGCCTTCAAGGCGGGAGGGACAGGTCCAGGGCAGGTGGGAAGCCTAGGAGATGCAGCCGGTGCCGTACCGTTTTCCTGCCTGTGATTTTGACATGCTCCGCACACATGTACAGATAAGGACATTAGCACGGTCGCCAGCCTCTGCAGGTCACGGGCAGATTGGGGCTGGCAGAGTTCTGGCTCAGTGCACAGCCCAGGGGCGTCGGGAATGCGATCAGTTCTCAGCATGGCCAAGGATAGATGGGTCACCAGCCAGCATTTGTCCGGGGCTTGTTAGGTGCGGGCTCTGTGTTAGGCCAGTGGGGGAACGACGACGAATAAGAGCTTTTCTGCCTCCAAGGAGCGTACCGTACAGCAGGGAATCGATGCCCAACTCGTCAGAAAGAGGGAGGAATAGGAACGGGCTGGGGCCATGGGGCCAGCAGGTGATGCCCCCCTGCATCCTATACTCTCCGCCTGGGAACAGGGGCAGGGGCAGGAGATGGCTCCCTGACTTGGTTACTGTGACCATCCCCTCTCCCTCTCCATCTCCATCATCTCCATCTCTATGTGGGACTCTCTCCTTTCTCTGCTTAATCATGATTCCTGAGGAGTCATCCTCTGTCAACCATTCTCTTTTCTCTCCAGTTCCCCAGCAGCCACCCAACTAAAGCCACCAAGGCCTGTGTTCACAAGCTGACCCACCTGAACGATGTTTGCAAATGGTAACAGCACACACCTAGGCAGCAATTACATGTGCTGCATGCTGTTCACTTGCTTTAACTTCTTCAGTCATCCCCACAAGCCGATGATTCTGTTATTATGTCCATTCTATAGATGAAAAAGCCAAGGTTAAGTGAACAGAAAGCAAGTCACTCACGCACACTCTGGACAGCCTCTAGCCATGCCACACACAGGACCTCAGTTGGGCCTCACGATGATACCATGGGGTAGGTAGATGGGGAAATTGGGGCCCAGATGGACCAAATGCGTTGCCAAGCTCTATGGCAAAGTGGTGACTAGAATCCAGGTCTGACTCTTAGCCTGGTATTCTCTCCATGACATGTTGTTGCTGAAATCAGAAACTATTCCTGTATGTTTCCAGTAACCCCGTACCCAACCAGTCTTCAGAGGATCGGGTCTTTGTATTCTCCTATTAGATGAAAAAAAACAAGGAAGAAACAGTCATGACCAGGCACTGATGCAACTGGAAAAGCTGGAAAGACTGCCACCTGGTGGCTTCCTCTGTGGTGGTGGCTGAAACTGGGCCCAGGGCCTGTGCGCACTGGCCTTGGGAGTCCATGACATGAAGTTCACAATAGAAGCTATAACTTACTGACCGTACGCTCGTGCTCCACTAAGTGCTTTGAATGGCTTCTCTCATTTATTCCTCGCATTAGCCATGTGAGATTGGTCCTGTTATCATCATCCCCATTTCAAAGAGGAGGCTCAGAGGTGAAGTAGCCTGCTCAAGGTCACACTGCTGTTAAGTCTCAAAGCTGAGTGTAAAGTCTGGGTTTGTCTGACCCCAGGAGCTGTTTCTACTTCACCACTCCTCACCCTGCCTCCCCATGCCTTATACCATTGGGCCACTGCCTGCCTCTCCCATCTCATCCCGCAGCTCATCACTGGCTGCTCATGACACGGGTCTCAGCTCACAGAGGTCACCTCCTCAAAGATGCTATCGATGCCAGCCATCCATCCAAGGTGCTCCCATGCAAGCCCAGCTCTTCACTGTCCCATTAACTCACTGCGTTGCCTTCTCAGGGCTTACCGCTCTCTGCGATGAGCTTATTTATTTGTTGTGTGCTTGCTTGGTATCTATATTCCCCACTGGGCGTGTCAGCGCTGTGGGGGCAGGGACTGCTACCTCCCCAGTACCTAGTACAATGCTTGTGAAGAGTTACTAAGTAAAGATTTACTGGATGAATGATTGGAGTGGCAGGGGAGAAGAGGCCCTTGGACTAGCATGTTATGCATGAAAACTCAGAGGTCTTCTTATCCACCCTTGCCTCCTTCCTCTTTGGACCACTCCCCTATACATCCTGGACCAGAGGTAAACTGAGGCCAGAGCTAGGACTTGGTTTAATTGGACAGGTAGGCATTAAGATAACAGGATGCACGAAAAATAAGATGCTTTCTATTCCTTGTCCTCCGCGTTTGATATAGTTGAAGTGTCTGGGGTTTTTTGGTAGCGGCTGCTGTTAATTCGTGTAATTAGTTTGTACCTAATACATATTGCTCTTGGTCATTTAAAAAGAGACTTAATTGTTCATTCAGGCCTGGAACCTATTCTGTTCTCCAACTTTATTACTTCCGCCACCACATTCAGGACCTGGAAAGGTAGATTAGCATCTCGGGATTATAAACTGCCTGTTCTCACTCACCCACACTTGGATGTGCTCCAGGAAGCAGACGCGGGCCTGTGAACTTGAATAGAGTCCTGTGCTTGTAAGGAGAAGCCCAGACCCAGGCACCGTTCCTAAGATGGGCTGCGAATACGAGCAAAGTACAAATGCTTACAGATGAGTTTATGGCCAAAGACATGAGCAGCCTCGGAAGGGAGAAACCACAGTGGCTAATGGTCATTAGAGCTCCACTGATGTAATGTCAGAGAATGAGGAGAGCCACAGCCCCAATTAAACAGACCAGGAAAATTGAGCTCTGTGCCAGCAGCCCCACCATGGTGATAGGGAGGCAGAGCAGCACTGGGGGGTGAGCGTGGACTTGGAGGGGGCCACCTGACCTCTCATCTGGGCTTACCTCTGTCCCGCTGTATGTCCTTTCTTCACCCGGGAAAACAAGGCAGAGCTGGCTGGCCTTTCAGATTCCCTGCAGCTCTGATGTTCTAGGCCTTTCCTGGAGGGTGGGGGAGAGGGGAAGGGGCTGGCGGAAAGGAAGCTAACGTTGATTGAATTCTTCCTCGACATCAGGTCCTCACTGACACGGTCTCTGTTTTGCAGATGAGAAGGAATAAAAAGGGGGTTAAGTGATACGCCTAAAGTGGCATTGCTAGAACGTGACGGAGCTTTGCCACGAGGCACCTGGCACTGACACACCATCTCTACCAGGGCTCCCGAGTATCTAATTCCTAGAAGTAGCACTCACCTCCTAAGGGGCACTGCTTGGTCTGCACAGTGACGGGGGGGGGGGGGGGGGGGGGGGGACACAGCCGGGGTTGTCAGATTTCTTGGTTTATTTCGACACCGTTCTCTAGCTCCTAATTAGGCAGCTCAGGGGTGAGATGCTAACGTGGATGTAAGTAATGAGCAGCAGACCTTGTGTCACAGGCCGACCCTGGATGCAGGACACAGAATGACTGTGTAATTATACCAGCCAGGGTTTACCGAGGGCCTCTCACGTGCCAGAGACTGACAACAACAGCAACAATAGTAAAGCAACAGCAGCAGCAGCAGCAGCAATAGCGGAGGCCTCACTGTGCACCAGGCAGAGTAATGTCCTCACCAGCGGACCTCCTAGGAGGGGAGTAAGATGCCTCTCCCTGTTTGCCTGTTGAGGAGATCAGGGCTCAATTTTTGAGAGTTGAAACAAGTACCCCAAGGTCAAACCACCAGGATTGCCACATTTCTGCTTCTAGATGGCAAAGAAGCTGTTAACTCCCAGAAAAGCCAGGAGCCATGTTTTCTGAGTGAACAATTAGGGCCTGTGGTCTGATGCATTGACTGGTGAGGAGGAGCTGGCTCTATGAACAGTCCAGGGGCTGTGGCTATCAGTGTGGTCTTGGCATTGTTATTCACCTCTCAGTTCCCCTCTGTTCCATGTCCACCACACCACTCTCTGGCTGCCCAAAGCCCCCCTGCAAAGGCTCATCACTCTGGTCTCCCTCCTGCAGAGTATTCTGTGCTCCAAAATTATGACTTATTTTAATATACAATTAAATTGACCATTCTCAGGCTAAACAATCCCCCCCATGTTGTAATTCATACTAAGGTGTGAGTGACTAACGAGCCACCCATTACATGAAGATGTTTGTTCTTTTGAAGAGAAGCTGGTTTATCCACCAAACAGCTCTCTCTATTAGAATCCTAGCTGACTGGCACTCCAGGATCCGTGGTGGCAGGTAAAGAGAGAGGCCGCCTTCCCCAAGGGGCTGTGTTCTGAAGGGAACTATTTATAGCCTCTTTCCTCTATCTGAACCAAGTTCAGTGGCACAGGGGAGCTCCTAGAAAACCCAAAAGGCACAGAACCTATCCTATTGGCATTATCTCACCCTTTGAGACCCCCTTCTTTGGTGAAAAACCGTTTTAATAAGGCTGTAATTTTGTTACAAAATTTTGTAATTAAATATTCTTAAAAATAATGAGGTTGCAGGCCTCTACCTCCCAATTTATCACAGACTTAATGCCCCAAGTTACACAGTGTTTAATCAAGAATGTATCCGCATTGTAACTCCATGAAGGCCTTAGAGATAGGAAGTGCTCTGAATTTATCATGAAGGTTGCTCTCTGTTCTTGAGATGTTACTCTGTTTACCAAGTTGCAAAATAAATGGTGGTTTCTTAGTCAGAAAGAACAATCTCTCTCTCATCCCGGCCTTCATCCTAGGCCCAGGGGCCTTTCTCATCCTCACAGGTAAATCCATCCATCAGCTCCTCACAGGTTCAGAATTGGCTTTTTCTTTGAAGGAGCAAAGTGCTCCCCCTGCTGGCTGAGGGCAGCCACTACAGCAGTGTGCAGCAAAATCACAACACTTTTTGGTCTTCTTTCAAACCACAGGATGAGCACCTACTGTGTGCTAGGTGCAGTGCTAAGGGATATAAGGATGAGAAGGACCAGGCCTCTGTCCTCAACGAGCTTAGTATCTTGTTGCATAATACATATAACAACCTATTAGTTGCAGGATCATAAAGAAGGGAGAAATTCTGTCCACAGAGATAAGAGAGGCTCTCTGGTGGTGATAGTGTTTTACTTGCATCCTGAAAACAAACCAACAGTTGGATTTCAGAAAGTGATGACGGAGAGAATGGGCCATGTAAGGGGCCCTAGAATGTTAGGGTGAAAGGGACCCAAAGCATCACGTACTTTAATCTCCTTTTATTTATTTATTATTTTTAAAAATATTTTTTATTGATTTCAGAGAGGAAGGGAGAGGAAGAGAGAGATAGAAACATCAGTGATGAGAGAGAATCATTGATCGGCTGTTTCCTCCACGCCCCCCACTGGAGACCGAGCTCACGACCCAGGCATGTGCCCTTGACCCAGGCATGTGCCCTGGGACCCTTCAGTCTGCAGGCTAACGCTCTATCCACTGAGCCAAACCCGCTATGGCCTTTTTAAAAAAAATTATTGATTCATTTTTAATATATTTTTGATTTCAGAGAGGAAGGGAGAGGGAGAGAGAGATAGAAATATCAGTGATAGGAGAGAATCATTGATCAGCTGCCTCCTGCATGCCCTCTCAACCCGGGCATGTGCCCTTGGCCGGAATTGAACCTGGGACCCGTTAGTCCCCAGACTGACTCCCTATCCCCTGAGCCAAACTGGCTAGGGCCCTCTAGGGCAGCGGTTCTCAACCTGTGGGTCACTACCCCTTTGGGGGTCAAACGACCCTTTCACCAGGGGTCGCCTAAGACCATCAAAAAACACATATATAGCCGAAACCGGTTTGGCTCAGTGGGTGGAGCGTTGGCCTGCGGACTGAAGGGTCCCAGGTTCGATTCCGGTCAAGGGCATGTACCTGGGTTGCGGGCATATCCCCAGTGGGGGATGTGCAGGAGGCGGCTGATCGATGTTTCTCTCTCATCGATGTTTCTGGCTCTCTATCTCTCTCCCTTCCTCTCTGTAAAAAATCAATAAAATATGTTTTTTAAAAAAACACACATATAATTACATATTGTTTTTGTGATCAATCACTATGCTTTAATTATGTTCAATTTGTAACAATGCAAATATATCCTGCATATCAGATATTTACATTACGATTCATATCAGTAGCAAAATTACAGTTATGAAGTAGCAACGAAAATAATTTTATGGTTGGGGTTCACCACAACATGAGGAACTGTATTAAAGGGTTGCAGCATTAGGAAGGTTGAGAACCACTACTCTAGGGCCTTTAATCTCCTTTTCTAAGTGGGGAGAAAGGAGCTCAGAGAGGCTAAATGCCTCGAATGTAAGAGAAGGAACAGAAACTGGAACCCACATTTGGGTTCACCAAGAATTCCAGGCTGAGGAGGAATGAAGGGCGGGGTGGAAGTGCTGGATATGTCGGGGAAATGGAGAATGGAGTCTGAGTCGCTGCCACAAGAAATTCAACCCCATTTACAGAGGAAGTGAAATGGTCTGGTTAATTTCATTTCCTAATTAGATGAATATTCAGCAAAATGCCTGTATTGTTAAAATGTTGATTTTTTAAAAACTTCCTGAAATGTTTGACTTCATTTTTCTGCCTTAGTGAACAAAGTAAGATAACAGATCATTCATTGATCTTTCTGGATCTTGCAGGATCTTGCGATATTTCAGACATAGAGAGTATACAAGCTTGTAGATATAGAACCATCAATGGATTCTTTACATCTTTCATAGCAACATACTTGCCTGCCATTTGTCTCTTTATCATCCACCATAGTATTCAGGCTTATTTATCAGCGTGGGGAAGTTGAATAAAAAAATATGATGAAGTGATGGTCCTGGCTCCCTTTGCTCTGGTTAACTGAGGTTTTGCTGGGTTGTTTAGGGTGGTCCTGTGAGCCTCCTGCACTGCCCTGACCTCACCCTTGCAGGGCTGCGCTGGACAGGGGGTTTCAGTGAGGAGCCTTGCAGAATTCCTGGGCTTGCTTTGGAAAGGTGTGGGTAGGACACTGCACTGATGATACTGGCTGGCTTATGCCCAAACTCGTCCCATTGAGACCCACCCTCCGAAAAGTTATGCACAGTGGCCTTGTCTAAATGGGGGCCTTGTGGGATTTGGCCTGGGTGTGGTAACCAGCCCCCCAGATGGCCCTCAACGCTCCCCACCCCCCAACATTCATGCCCTGTGTAGTTCCCACATACATTATACCAGGATTGATCTATACAACCAGTAAAATACAACTTAAAGGATAGTATGTTACTTCCTAGCTTGGGTGATAAAAGGATGTTGCAGCTTTCACCTTGGTGACTCTCTCTCTCTCTCTCAGGCCACTTGCTCTGGGGGAAGCCAGCTGCCGTGGCATGAACATCACTGGGAGGAAACCCAAGGAACGGAGGCCTCCAGTCAACAGCCATGTGAGTAGCTTGGAAGCAGAACTTCCAGCCCCTGTCGAGCCTTCAGATGACTGCCACCCTGGCCAGAACTACCCAGATCCAGACCCTCAGGAACTGTGTGAAGTAAGAAACACTTATTGTTGTAAATTGCTAATATGTAGGCTACTTTGTTGCACAACAATAGAAAACTAATAATATACTTCTCAAGAGAACTCCCTGAGACAGGGAACCCCCAGGCACTGCTCTTTCCCAGAACCCACTGCGTGACCTGGAATAGTCTTGACATCCTGGTATATTAAGTCCAGAAGGGGCCTGGGAGCTTGGCTAGTCTAGTTCCCTCACTTCACAGATAAAAGAGGAGTGTCCAAAGGGGAAGAGGCTGTGTGTGGAGCCATGCTGAGGCAAAAACTCGGGTCTCCTGATGCGAGGGTTAGCCTCTTCTCTCCGTAGTCCCACTCCCAGCATGTAGTCAGCTTCCCAGTTCACTGTTTTAGTCACCAAATACATAGAGAATGCCTACTGTGTGCTAGGTATTGTTTTGGACCCTGGGGCATTGTTGAGACTCTGGGCATTTGTGGAATTACTGGTCAAAAGTTATTTGAATGTCATATAATTATTACAATGAATGAATGCACGATTGAATGTATACATGAATGTAAAAGACTGGATCACATCAGGAGATTCACGTACTGGTCCTTGCTTTGATGAATGTCCTGGCTCTCCTTTGTCATTCTCTGTAAGTGAAGGCTCCAGGCCGAGGTGCAGTACAAAGACTTAGATTAAGATATAGAATCTTAGAATTTTAGAACTAGAAAGGACCTTGGCAGGCGAGTGTGGAAATTACACAGGAACAGTGGATCCCTTTGAAAACCAGATGAATCTATGTTCCCCCTTTAACTACACGTCTAAAACACCACATACAATTTGGGGAGATTCCTAGAACATTTGAAGGCCATCCATGGATTCCCTAGGGATCCACAGGCCAAGAACCTCGGATCTGATCAACCCTCCTGTTATTTTAGGTGAGAAAACTGACACCCAGAGAAGGGAAGTGACTTGCCCTACATCACACAGCAGTTCAGTAGCGAAGCCGACGCTTGAACCAGCTCTCCCGAGGTCTGGTCCAGCGTTCTCTCCCCGCAGAGCCCTGACTTACGGGAATTACACTGTCGCCAGGAAACCAGCCCCGGCTCCTGAAATCCAGAACTTCAGGAAATCACACGCTGGCATTTGTTTTCTGTTAATATCTCTTGGAGACAGACAGAGTGGCTCAAATGACCAACTCTGTCTCCAGCCCTAGGCTGAGAGGCCTCTCTGCCGGCTTCCTAACACTGGGCAATTAGAAAGCCCTCGAGAAGGGAACAGCGACCCAGGGAGGGTCCAGGATGGGAAAGTGGGGGGAAGTCTGGTGGCTGCCCCTAAAGCCCAAGGACATTCAGCTTTGCTCTGCCCGGTGGCTGGTCCCAGGTGGTCAGGGGGTCCCTCTGCTGTGGAGCGGACAGTCCACGTTTAGACAAACCTGGCTTCTCACGATCACATAATGAAGCAGCTGAGCACAGTGTCAAAGAGCAGGAGCTCCGATGCCAGCCTGCCTGGGTGCAAAGCCATGTTTTGCTGCTTTTTAGCTGTGCCATCGCGGGCTACTAGCGGACCTCTCTTCTGATCGGTAAAATGGGGGCCATGATAGCCCTTTCACAGGCTTGTTGCCAGGATCAAGTGAGTTTTTGTAAAGTGCTTGGAGCAAAGCCTGACATATAAGTGCCATATAAATGTATGATAATTAAGGGCATAAAATCCATACTTCTTCAGGAATTCGTTTTTATCTGCTGGGTCCTTCACAACAGAGGCCACTAAACTTAGTTAAAAAAAAAGACATATTCTGGCCCAACCAGTGTGGCTCAGTGGTTGAGCATTAACCTATGAACCAGGAGGTTATGGTTCGATTCCTGGGTTGCAGGCTTAATGTCTGGTAGGGGGTGTGCAGGAGACAGCCAATCAACAATTCTCTCTCATCATGATCTCTCTCTCTCCTTCTCCCTTCCTCTCTATGTCAATTAAAAAATGTGTATATATATATATATAGATATATAGATATATAGATAGATATATAGATATATAGATATATATATAGATAATATATATATATGGACACATTTTAAAAATCAACTTTATTGAAGTATAAATTGTAATAACATTACCTATTGTAAGTACACATTCAGATGGATGAGTTCAGACACATTTATATCCGTGTGTAACCACCACAGTCAGGATATAAAATGTTTCCATTATCCCCCAAAGCTTCCTTGTCCCTCATCCTAGTCAACCCCTTCACCCTCAGCCCCAGGCAATCATCTGTGCCACTGAAGGTGATGATGGCCCTTCTCTCTTAGGAAGCAGGTGTTGAGCTGCCAAAATATGTGAACCCATTGATTTATATGTTACATATGTCCTGCTGTCAATCACACTAGGACAGCTTAATTTCTGTTTTATTTTTTTAGATTAAAAAAATATATTAAGCAAAGAGATAAAACATGAACAATTGGTGAATCTGACTAAGGGGATTTGAGAGGTTTTTAAAATAAAGTTCTTGAAACTTTTCTGTAAATTTGGCATTATTTCAGAATAAAAAGTCACGACAAATCAAATTAACTTATGTAGCATAGACAGAGCGGCTGCTGCACGCTTGGAGCGCTGTTCGCTCCCAGCAGCCCCCGGAGAGTTTTCTAAGCCTGCCAAGGCCCCGGCCTCCCCCTGCGCAAAGGAGTCAGCGCTCCAAGGGGGCGGCCTAGGCATCTGCTTGGCACCTAGTGACGGGGCCAGGCCTCCCCGGGGCCACGGGGCCTTTGGCAGGAGAGAGACCCTCTAGCTGGTTGAGTCCACACTGGCCTTTTGGGTAAAATGGGCCAAGCTTGAGTTTGGCGGGCAAAGGGCTGGCTCAAGTTTGGCAGGACAGATGTGTTTGTGAAACGCTTTGTATCCATAAAGCACCTTATGGCTTAAAGCATCCTTTAGGCATGAGGCAGCTTAAAAGTGAATAAATATGATATAAATGTGATAGAAAGCACCAGCTAATTACAGCTGCGGCTGCTGCTGTTACTGCCACCAGCTCGGGTGATCAGCCGTCTCAGGTGCCTGAGACTGTCCCAATTTTAGGGCCGAAAGCCCTGCCTGCCAGGAAACCCCTCAGCTCTGGGCAGGTGGGGGCCGTTGGTCACCCTAGACCAGCGGTTCTCAACCTTCTGGCCCTTTAATACAGTTCCTCATGCTGTGACCCAACCATAAAATTATTTTCGTTGCTACTTCATAACTGTAGTGTCGCTGCTATTATGACATTTACATATGTAAATATCTGATATGCAGGATGGTCTTAGGCGACCCCTGTGAAAGGGTCGTTCGACTGCCAAAGGGGTCGCGACCCACAGGTTGAGAACCGCTGCCCTAGAGCCTATTACCAGTGCTTTCATTGCCACAGTCACTTCACTCGCCACCATGCTAGTCTGCGCTGGCTGCTCTGAGAAACACCAGAGAGTAGGTAGTTGAGACAACCGTTTATTTTCTCCCCGTTCTGGAGGCTGGGAAGTCCAGGATCCAAGGGAGAGCTCGCCTGCTGCAGACAGCCACCTTCTGTCCGTGTTCCCACGTGGCCTTTCTTCTGTGTGCGCGCGGGTGGGAGGGAAGGAAGGGACTCCCGGTGTCTCCTCTCTTATGTGGACACCTATGCCATCAGGGTAGGGCCTCACTCCTGCGGCTTTGTTTAACCTTAATTACCTCTGTGAGGTGAGGGCTTCAACATGTGCGTTTTGAGGGCACCATCTGCCAGCCAGTCTGACTGCCACCATCGCAGCTATAACCATGTAACCAGTCCCTCCTGCTCTCAGCTTTGGCTTCAGCCATACCTGCCTCCTCCAGGGACAGCTCCTCCACCACCCCAGACAGCCTCCCGCCTTTCCCCCCTTCCACTGCTCTCCCCGCTTCCTTGGGCTCTTAGCGTGTTGCTGCTCCCTCTTTGTGTCCTAGCTCTTTGAACATGCTTCCCTCCGTTGTTTGCCTTGGCCCAGGGAAACCAAACACCTGACTTTCGTAGGAGCTGGCTCTGGGAGCCCAGAAAAGGAATTCCCAACAATTGTCTCCTAACAGAAGCCGATCGCCCCTAAGTCACTCCCCCAGCCTCCCCCTTCCCCTGGACTCATCATGACAGTGGCCATAGCAGCAGTGGGCGGCCCACCAGGGCTGCATGGGAGTGGCGGGGGGGGGGGGGGTGGTCATGAAGGTTAATGAGGCTCAGGCTACCACTCCTCCTGGAGGTCACTGTCACCCCGAGTACCCCAGAGCCCTGTGCTGGCCTCTTCCTGTCGCCGGGACATCATTAGAAATGTTAATTATTAATTATCACTAAAAGCTCTTTTTGCTGCATTGCTGATCTCTATTGCTCTCCCTATCTCTCTTTTCCTCCCTTATTTTCTGTAACCGGATCCTGGCTTCTGCATCTCCCATTTTTCTTTTCGTCCTTTTCCTCTGACCACCTCTCACCTGTAGGGTGGGGGTTGGGATATCCTGGGCAAGGGTCACCCCGCAAGAGGCACCGGCATGTCCTTTTGCTGTGTCATTCTGACGAGTGCCCACTTAGTTCTCTCAAAGCACTGATGACTTATGGAGACTGGGCAGAACCTGAGCAAGTATTGGGTTCTGATGTTGTGAAGTATTTTTTAAAATATATTTTTATTGATTTCAGAAAGGAAGAGAGAGGGGGAGAGAGATAGAAACATAAATGATGAGAGAGAATCATTGATTGGTTGCCTTCTGCACTCCCCACACTGGGGATTGAACCCTCAACTCGGGCATGTGCCCTGACCAGCAGTCAAACTGTGACTTCCCGGTTCATCGGTCAACACTCGACCACTGAGCCACACTGGCCAGGCATGCTGTGAAGTATTTTTGATGAATCTAAAACCCTCCCATTCCCTTCACCTTCCCTATACCTTCACCTCGGGTGCTGCGGCCCAGTTTTGTGGGCAAACTCAGGGAGTCACCTAAAGAGATGCAATTTGAAGGAATCCCTGGGAGGATCGCTTCACCAAAATGCCTCCTTCCCCCGATCCTGGTGCCAGCCTCCTACC